GCCGCCACCTCACCCCAAGTGGACAACAGAGCCGCTGCACCACCAGCCAGCCGCGCCGCCGCACGCATCCGGTGTGTGCCGACTGTTTCTCCGACGCCCTAGCACCCGCTCGCCGCACCAGCACCTGGCCGCAAGCTCCTGGTGAGTGCCGCAAGCCAGCAGGACCTTCGGTGTCCGGCTGTACACCACCCCTCCAATCTGGTGTACTAGCCTGGTGCCAGGTGGGCTGTTCCTGCCTCTCTTCTGTGGGTTGAGTGGATGCTGTTGTCACAATTGCATTATCATTTGTGAAGGAATCGACTTGCAAGAGATTTCAGAAGGCAGTCGGTCAAAGAGGGATTGGGAGGAGTGAATAATGAGGACAAATGTTGAGTCGTAATGGCGCAGCAGAGAGGGCAGCAGAAGGAAATGGAGCAGGGAACAGGAGCAGGGCCGGGAGGCCCCTACAGGCAAAACTGAGCAAGTTCTTGACTCGGCTATGGAAGCCGCTAAGTGCGGTTGGCTGGCGGCAGAGGCCTGCTGCCAGCTCACGCCGCCAGGAGGGACGCCGCTCACTTGCTGGTGGGCAGGTTCTTGGTGTTGTCCCAGCACAGCTTCTGGCCCGTCTTGCGGGCGGTCCACAGGCCGGTGCTGCACTTGGCGCACTTGTTCTGGCCGGGGGTGGCAGAGTAGGACTGCAGCAGGAGGGGAGCAGTGACAGCAGGCGGGGTGAGCAGGCGGTGTTTGAAGAGGAGCGGAGCAGAGGGCAGGCAGGCAGGCAGGCAGCATGAGCAGGCGCCACAGCAGCAGGCAGGGAGGCGGGCAGGCAGGCTGTCGGCTCAAGTCACTCACGTTGATGGGGCAGGCGGCGCAGTCGTTGGGTGTGATGGAGGAGAACTTGACGCCAAACTTGCCGGCGGGGCAGGGGGTGGGGGTGACCATCTTGGTGGCCTGACAGTAGCTGCCGGCGGGGCAGGGCTTGCAGGCGCGCTGGCCCTCGTTGTCCTGGTAGGTGCCCTTGGCGCACTCCTTGCACCACGGCTGCTTCATGTCGGCGTAGAAGCCGCGCGCGCACTTGGTGGGAGCCACGGAGCCGGCGGGGCACTGGTAGCCTGGGGGGCAAGGCTTGCAAGCGCCCTGGCCCTCCTCGTCCTGGTAGGTGCCGCCCTCGCAGGGGATGAAGCCGTCGTTGCCGGTGCCGGGGGCGTAGTTGCCCTTGGGGGCGGGCAGGCACGACTCCAGCTCGGTGCTGCCGGTCATCTCGGTGTAGGTGCCCACGGGGCAGTCCTTGCACTCCAGCTGGCCGGCCTCGTCCTGGTAGGTGCCGGGGCCGCAGATGTCGCAGGCGCTGTTGCCCTCGTCGGGCACGGCGTAGCCCTTGGGGCACTTCTTGCAGGCGCCGGAGAAGCCCTGCTTGTCGGCGTACTCGCCCGCGGCGCAGGCGGTGCAATTGAGGTCCGAGGTGGTCAGCAGGGTGGAGCCGGGA